GTGAGCACCCTTCGGCTGGAGGACCTCCTAGAAACACCCCAAATCAGCCCATATCTGATGAAGTGTCGCGGGGGTTGCCTCAAGAAACATTTCCAACGCCGCATGCCGGAGGAGAGACAGGAGAATTAGCACCGCCTCCAGACAGTCAATATGAAAGGAAAACTTCATGGCCGATCTTCCAGTCAATCATTCAACCAGTGGTCCAACCAGCTCCTCAGCCAGCACCCCAGCCAGCCATTCAACCCATAATAGTGCAAGCTCCCCAACCGGTTGCACAACCCGCGCCTCCAGCTCAGAGTATTCATGTCCATCCCGCTACTGTCCCATCGCCAATTCTCATAGCACCAAATGGACACCAGCATCCAGCATTCCCTCAGGAACAGCAGGCTGAGCCGCAGCCGCCGAACCCTACGTCTCCTGGCCTTCGGCAAGCCACCGAGAGGGCTGGATCAATCCCGTTATCCGACATGCATACCGCTCCGGCGCCTGCATACACATCCAATCACAACAGCTCTTCTACACCAGTGCCTACATCTACTTCTCACTACACTAGCTCCTCTATACATCGCATGGAGCCTCATCCACTCTCACGAGGGGAAGTGTCACATACCACCACAGAGAGAGAGATAATCGAGATACGACGGAAAACGTTAGAGACAGAAGACAAGACGAAGAAGAAGAAAAAGAAGTTTGGCTTGTTGTTCTGCTATTGCTGTTGTGGTGGTGACCGGTCTCACAAGAAAGGCTGTTTCGGTAGGAAAGACAAGAAGGAGAAGAAGGTCAAACGTCGGTGGTACCTGGCTATCCTCACATCCTTCCTCATCATCATAGCGATCATCCTCCTCCTAGTAATGACCTTGACAGGAAAAGGCGACTCAACTCCTGTGGAGTCACAGTGGCTCAATCTCACCGGCTATCCACCGATGCCCACCGGTATCGCAACGATTGCCGGACCAAAGCCTCAGGTTCAGCAATCAGGATGCATAACTCCTTCCACTCTCTGGAGCTGTGCTCTACCACCAGAGGAACAATCCGCCAACGAGCCCTACGCCGCCAACGAGCCGAACTTCCGTGTGGAAATCCGATTCCGCAACGGTACCTACCCTAACAGCACCACGATTGCCACAAGATCCAGCAAGACCCTCTCCTCGCGGAGCTCCGACAACCCCTACAGCCCATCCCCATCCCCACCAAGCATGAAAGACCAGACCTTCCTCGGCAACACAACAGACAATAACACCGTCCCCTACGCCGGCGAAGGAACCCCCTTCTACATGACCTTCCTCTCCGCCAGCACCCTAACATCAACATCCACCCTTCGCCTGGCGCGAAGATCCTCCGACAGCTCCTTCCCCAATCTCGCAACAATAATCCCATCCCCAGACGAAGACTCCGACGGAACCGCCGCCGCCGCAGACCTATACCCACTACCCTCTTCCCAACCAGTCCGTCTCTACAATCGCGGCCTCAACACAGAACACTACGGCTTCTACACCTACTTCGACCGCTCCATCTTCCTCTCCTCCCTCGCCCCCCTCGACGGCAACACAACCGACACAAACGCCAATGACCAAAACGGCGGATCCAACGAATCCGACGCCCGCGTCCGCTGCACATGGTCACAGACCCGCTTCCTCGTCCAAATTTGGACCCGCTCCAACGACACCCTCCTGCAGAACTCAACCTCCACGTCCACAGCATCAGCATCCACAGCAACCGCAAGTGCTACAGCAACGACCACGCCTTCCTCCGCAAATGACTGGACCCGGCCCGGATCCTTCCCTTACCCTGTCACCATAACTCTAGACCGCCATGGTGGGGACGCGATGAAGAAAATGGTCTATTGTTACGGCATGGAGAGCGGCGAGCAGATCAACTCGACGGAAGTCAAGTTGCAGCTCGAGGATCGATCGTACGGTGGCACGCTAGTTAATCCGGCCCCGGGGATCTTTGACCTATATGGGAATTCGTCGACGGATGCGACGGGGGATTATGGGGGTGTTGATGGTGGGAGTGGAGGGTGTTCTTGTAAGTGGGCGAATTGGGTATCGAGTTCGTAGGATGGATGATGAGAGATAATTGGAAGGATGAAAAAGATAAAGTGATATGTTGACTTTTGATTGTTTTCTGAATGATGATTGCATAAACGCATGGTTGTATTGATTATGGGGAGTAATGACTCGAAGATGTTAAGATGCATGCAGTATAATATAGATGCTGAGATATGAATAAAATACTTAGATGATATATTTTCCGCACATCTTGAGACAGACTACTGTTTTGCTGGATGCATGTCCATATTGGATTGAATGAATTTCACCAAAGTCCAATACACAATCCATGAAACCTGAGTACTCCAGAAACCGAAGTAAGATATGAAAACATGATGACAAAAAACGCCGTATATACCTCTATAAGATAAATCCAACAGATTGACCATCTGGTATTCTCATCCAGAGTACAATATCGGAATTCAACAAGAGCATAGTATATATTATTTGTATTGTGAAGGACAAACACCTGGAATTAACAAGCAAGCCAGAAATAGATGTATCATAAGTGAGCGAAGCGATCCACTTCTCGTCAATGATTATTAGTCTTTTTATAAAAGTTTCTGGGGGTGAAAGAAAAAGGTCTGCCCCACTTCGCTGTATTGTCTTTTTTTTTTTTTTTCTGTATTGGTTTCGGGGGCAGTCGTCTTGTCATCAAGCAGTCTAGTGATGCATGATATCGAAAGAAAAATCAGAAGAGAAGACAGCAGCAGTGCCAATTAAGCCAAGACAAGCAAGCCCATGGCGATGCTTCCGACAAGAGCAAGGCCGGGAAGAACCATCTTGGCACCAGAGCTGGATGAGATGAATCCCGTGGAGGTAGGTGCAGCAGGAACAGTAGCAGCGCCGCCGCCGCCGCCACCGCCACCTCCAGAGGTGCCGGTAGAAAAGGACCCTGAAGAGGTAGTCGAGTTGGAGAACCGCTGCGATGAAGTGGTGCTGGCGTTGCCGCTAGCGGCCGGGGGAATGCTGGCAGGAGGAGCACTGGTCACAGCGGGGTTCGATTCGATCGGTACTGGTGGGATGCTGGCAGCAGCTGGAGCGCTCGTTTGAGCGGCCTGTGTCTCCCCTCCGGAGGTCTTGATGAGCGGGACGCTCGTTTGAGCGGCGGTGCCAATCGCCTGGGTAGCCGGGGCGCTGGATCCAACAGCGGCGGGCTCGGTGTTGGTGGCTACTGGAGCGCTGGATTCAGTGACAGCGGGCTGAGACTCGGTAGCGCTGGACTTGATGACTGGGACGCTCGTCTCGGAGGAGGCAGAAGCTGGGGCACTGGATGCGGCAATGGGAGGGGGGTGCTGAACGGCGGATTCAGTTGCAGCACTGCTGGGCTCCGCGGTGACGACAGCGGTGGCTTCGACGGTACTTTGAGCGGTCACTGTTGTCACTTTGCCGTCTTCACTAGCGGACTGGGCTGCGTGGACAGTGCCGGCAGCGAAGGCCAGAGCGGTCACAACGTGGGTTGAGTAACGCATTGTGAATGGAAGAGACCTGGGAGAGAAAGAAGAAGAAAGAGATCTATCGCGGTACAAGCAGCAAAACTGAGCGTCAAGAAGAAGGATTGGGAGGTAGAGAATGAAGCATGACAACGCAGACGGATCGAGCTGGATCTTGAGGTTCTTTATAGCTTTCCTTGATGTACCGTTCCGGTACTACCATCTTTGCTTGACAGTCGGTTTAAACTCCGGCACAGGTGCTTCTTCATGGTGTTATCCACGAATCGCAAGAAGTTTAGGGATCCGGATGCCGTAGTGTGGGAACGAACGTGGGAAGCTAGGCACTGCTTCCGGACTAGATCGAACAGATTGGATCTCAAAATAGCACAGCTGCAACCCAAAGCATTGACAGGTGCCCGGATCTAGATAAACTACTTCTGCTGGTAGCAGATCCAATTGGGGCTCTTCCCAGTGTCATGTGACTTGAAACTGCCACCCCAGGGCTTCCTAAAAGGGAAGTCGAGTGGCCGGAATCAGCCACCTGAGGAATGTTGATCCATTCCTCGACGATCTGTAGCCCTGCGAAGAGAACAGTATCTTTGAACGCATTTAGGAAGTGCAATGAGGATGCAGCAACCTCTCAATAGACGGAAGCATCCCCAGGATGCTGCTACGTCAACCTCACCACGTTGCAGTCTCGACTGTGGCATGTTTCGCAAGCAATGTGCCACTGGAGGTTTCACACCTAAATGTCGATCGATCAGTGGTTCAATCTAGCAAATTTTGGTGTATCTCAACCAGTGACTCGGTCGTCTTTCGTTAGTCACGTTAGTCATTGAAAGCGCATGTTGTCGATTGTTGGGAACATGGTTGCGACTGCAGCTTTCAGTACTACCAATGCTGGGACTTAACCACAGACAGGCACTAGAGTCTCTTCAATAATAGCGTTCTCGTTCAAGGCTCCTGCCTATGCTAGCTAGCCTTTCATTGTTTGTCTGTCTCTCTGAATGCTCGATAGCTCCATTGTAGTTCTGTTCTTTGTCTGGTTCTCAAGTGCAAGCTGTCACCCCATCAGGGGAGGGGAGGCATAATCCAGATATGATAGCTTTAGTACTCAGATTAGCCAATTGTTTTCAAGACAGATGCCAATGCTTGAAGGTTGACTTCTGTGTGAAGCTTCAAGTATGGAGGCCACTGATCACTATCCACAGGCCCCCTTTGGCAGAGCGGCGAGGAGTAGACGACATGTAGACATCTCTCGAACCAGATGGATATGAGGTCGTCAAGATTGAATGTAGATCAATTTTCATACATGGACAAAAATCTCCATCAACTCAGATGTTAGTCTTGATAGTTATACAAAGTCGAGCATATCCAGGGTGTGGGGGAAGGACAGCCATGAACTGGACCAGTGGTTCTCATTCGGCACCGGCCCGGAGATCCGCCGATCGCCGCCCCCTCGAGGTCAATTAATCCATGATTCCGCCATCCTTTATCATCCCCCAAGACCCTTACTATTTCCCTTACCAACACTTCATACGTGTCGCCATACCGGCTCTAAGGTCGGTCGGTCCCTCCTCCGTGCATCTGCACTCCGGCCTCATGCCACCACCCGTCACCCATGCCTCTCCGACGCAACATTCCCACCTCCGCCCTGCTGTCTCCTGGCGACTATGACGAAGATGCCGAGTCGCTACGTTCCCCGTCAGAGCAGGACTCTGACTCGGAGGACGACGAGTTTCTTCGGAGATCACGCACTACATTAGAGCTTGCCGAGCACGATCGCACAGTACTGGAAGAGGAAGAAGAAACAGAGAAACTGCTCACCCGTACCGGTCCAACTCATGGCCTTCGCCGCATCTTCAGCCCCAGCAGTAGTAGTGTTCGAATCGGAAAGCAGGAACGCAGGAGACAACGCCAACAGGCCCGAAGAGAGGCCCGCAGAGAGCGCCGCAAGAAGGCGCGTGGATCCGGAGAGATAATGTTCGAGATGGAAGAGGGTCATCGGGACGATGAGCAATCTCTCCTGAGCGCTTCTTCGTCCGACTTCGACACACGGGTCAAGGAATATGCTTTTATGCAGGTATGGATGTCACACAATTACCTCTCATGGGTTTTGCGGGAGCTCCGGTACTGATTTATGGTAACCAGCCACGGCGCGTTCCATGGCGCAGACTCGCCCTCGTATTCTCCGCTATCTTTATCCTTCTCCTCATCTTCTTACTGGGCGCATATAAAGCATCTATAAAGTATGGAGCCCCTCATTCCTCGAGGCAGCTTCTATCTAATGGCACTGCGTTGTTCGCCCCCACGACGATCTTGATCTCTCTCGATGGTTTCCGAGCGGACTTTCTCACTCGTGGCTTGACACCAACCCTCCGCTCATTCATTGCAAATGGCGTCTCGCCGCAGTACATGCTACCCAGTTTCCCGAGCGTGACCTTCCCGAATCATTTTACACTTGTTACGGGACTATATCCCGAGAGCCACGGAATCGTTGGAAATACCTTCTGGGACCCGGAGCTGCAGGAAGAGTTCTACTATACCCACCCGTCCGTCAGCATGCAGCCGAAATGGTGGAACGCGGAGCCCCTCTGGATGACGGCCGAGAATCAGGGCGTGCGGACCGCTGTTCATATGTGGCCGGGCTCCGAGGCACATATCGGAGGCGTAGATCCAACCTACCTAGACGAATACAACGGGTCCGAAAAGCTTTCCTCGAAAGTGGAACGCATCTTGGGACTGTTGGATATGCCGGGAGTAGAAGCGGAGTCAGACATTGCGCCCCAAAGGCCTCAGTTTATCGCTGCCTATGTCCCGAATGTTGATGCAGATGGACATAACTATGGCCCCAACAGCACTGAAACTCGCAACACAATCGCTAAGGTGGACGACATGCTTGGCAGCTTATTCTCCGGTATCGAAGCACGCAATTTAACGGATGTCGTGAACATCGTGATTGTCTCCGACCATGGCATGGCGACAACCGCGACCGAGCGATTGGTTCAGTTGGAGGACCTGGTCGATCTTGATCTAGTCCAGCGCATCGACGGCTGGCCGTTACGCGGGCTGCGTCCCAAACGGCCAGAGGATCTCCAAGTTCTCCAAGATCAGCTGGAGAGCGTGGCCGCGAACTATTCGTATGCGGTCGAGATCTACACACGTGAGGGCATGCCTGAACGCTATCACTTTCAAAACAACGATCGCATCGCCCCTCTGTGGGTAATTCCAAAGACAGGATGGGCAGTCGTCGAGCGTGCCGACTTTGATGCCCAGAAGGCCCTGGAGAATGGGGAGGTCTATCACCCCAGAGGCATTCATGGATATGACCACGAGCACCCCTTGATGCGGGCAATTTTTATCGCCAGGGGACCCGCATTCCCCCATGAACCAAATAGTCGCTTGGAAGCATTTCGTGAGTCATCCCCGACCCTTTGTCGGGCGGAGTTGGATTTTAGCTAACCAAGGTAGAAAACATCAATGTGTACAACATAATTTGCGACTCACTCGGCATCACCGCCCACCCGAACAATGGGACCATGCGTCTGCCTCTCAAGACGATAGGCCTTCACTCTGACGAAGACACGCCCACGCTGGCCAGTGTTCCAGATCCTCCTGTTTCTAGCACGACCGCCACTATGACGCCAACGATGATGCCGTCGGCAGAGATTTCCTCTTCTGCGTCCCCGACGGAAACAGCGCCTGAAGCTCAGCCCGAGCCTGACCCGGAAAGTGAGGATGAGAAGGGTCCTACCTGGTGGGGGACTCTTTGGGACAAACTCCAGGAAGCGAAGGAGTGGGCGACCGACATATTCGACACCGTGAAAGACAATTTCACCGGATCGTGATCATAGACATAGAACGAGTGGCTGTGACATTGTTTTCTTTGCTTGTTGGTTTTCTGGTGGTCTTACTGTTGGTTGTTTTTGCGAGGCGCGGCTTTTTCTTAGGACGGGGGGCCATAATGGGCCCATTAATACGTCATAATCAAGATACCCACATTTGAATTTTTACAGACTAGGATTGAATACAAGAGAGGCATTATTGGTTCGCAGGGAGATGCCTCGAGGAAGATGGGGATGCGGCTGAAAAGGAAGAATCCACACGATCGCCGGCTGTGTTGCCGGGATTGGCGCCCGCCTGCTTCGGACTATGACTCAAGTGGCTCCCCGTCAGCTGCGCATTCCACTGCGCCCGTCACTTCCTTCGTTGGGCGCCGTTCGTCAGTTACACATTGGCCTACACGATGGGTCAGAGGCTCGCTCTAGATCCTGGTCCTACCGCTCGGCGCAGATGGATGCCTACCAACCCGACGATGCCACGGTTTGTCAGCCTTCCTGCCTGGCGCATCATGGCTGGGATAGAACTATAAAAGAAGAGCTCATTCTCGACAATAGGAGCCTTTCATGCCAATTGATTGCAACTTTCCTTCAGCGTTAATTTCCATTTTCCTCTTATAGAGCTGCCGGATAATTGCATATTGTTGTTTTTTGCCGCTAAAGATCACTTATTTCCAAGGTCAACTCCGCGCCCACGGCATTGTTAGCATTGCTGGATTTCTCTATATATCAATACCCTACAGTTACGAAACCCTCATCATGGCTTCAAGCGCTTTTCTCAGCAACACCATCAACAACACGCCAGTCATGAACGCAACATCTTCTTCACAGTATATGGGTCCTTCTGACAGTGCGATGCTGGATATGTTCATTCCGGGATACTCCTTCATATCCCGGTTTCTAATATCATATTTACACATCGACCTCTCCCAATATATTCCCATGATTTTGACGGCTGTGGCTTTTGTTGCTTCGTTGCGATATGTGTTCTTCCGCTCACATGAGCTATTAACCGAGTATTGTGTTTCAACTGCTGAGATCCGCCTCGAGGATGAAGTGTACAACTACCTGATGTTCTGGATGGCACAACACCCTTCTACGAAAAAGTCCACTCAGTTCGTAGCTAGCACCAAGATCTCCAGCGGCGCACGGTACTACGACTCCGACGACGAGGGTGACCTGGATGATGAAGATGAATACGACGAGAACGGCAATGTCGTCTCCGACTTCGACGACTACTGGGCCAAGACCGTTGCACGAGACAAGTTCAAGCGCCTCCGCTTTACCCCAGCCGAAGGAAGCCATTACTTCTGGTTCCGTGGTCGTCTTCTTACCTTCACTCGTGCCAAAGAGGAAAACAACAACACCATCTCCTACATGCGATACGTGCCTGAGCGACTGTTCATCTCATGTTTCGGTCGTGACCCCACTATCCTGAAGGAACTCCTCGCGGAAGCTCAGAGGGCATGGGTAGCCAGAGACGGAAACAGCACAGTTATTTACCGCGGCCAGAAGAATGGCGGGTACACTGACTGGGTCCGCTGCATGGCACGCCACCCCAGACCTCTCTCCACCGTCGTGCTAGACCAGGACCAGAAACAATCGTTCATCAAAGACATCAAGGAATACCTCCACCCCCGCACGAGAAGATGGTACTCCAACAGAGGTATCCCCTATCGTCGGGGGTACCTCCTCCACGGCCCTCCCGGAACAGGAAAGACCAGTCTCTGCTTTGCAGCATCAGGACTTCTCGGCCTCCCTCTATACCTGCTGAACCTGAGCTCCAAGAGTCTAGACGAAGACGACCTAATGTCTCTATTCCAAGACCTCCCTCGCCGCTGCATCGTCCTCCTGGAAGACATCGACTGCGCCGGCATGACCTCCAAGCGCGCGGCCAACAGCACCCAAGACGACAAGAACAAGAACGACCCCAACAACGCCAATGCCAACCCTGCCGCTGCGCCCAACACTGCTGCCAACACTCCCGCTGGCTCGTCCTCAGACAAGAAGCCCTCCGAGGAGACCCCCGATAACAAGGGGATCACCCTCTCCGGCCTACTGAACGTAATCGATGGCGTCGCAGCAAGCGAAGGCCGCATCCTCATCATGACTACGAATCATCCGGAGAAGCTCGATGCCGCGCTCCTCCGTCCCGGCCGCGTGGACATGACCATCACTTTTGGGTACGCTCACTCCCAAGACATCCGGGAATTGTTCTCGTCCATTTATTCCACGCTTGAGGGTGATTTGCGCTCTGCGTCTCCGAATAGGAGGAAGAACGCTATTACCAGCCACGACGGCAAAGCCAATGGTGTTAAGAAGACGATCTTCGGTGATGGAACGGAGGAACGGCCCCCTGTTTCGGATAAGATTGTCCGGTTGGCAAAGAATTTCGCAGCTGGTATTCCAGCTGGGGAGTTCACTGCTGCGGAGGTGCAGGGGTACCTGTTGAATTATAAGGATGATCCGGAGGCTGCAATTGCTGGGATTGGGGGTTGGTTGGAGCGGACGGAGAAGACAAGGAAGGAGAGGAAGGAGAAGGCTGAGGAGAGTAAGGTATAGATTTCTTGTGTTCTTTTTGTAGCTTTGTCCAGGTTTGAGGGTTATGATGATGATTATAGATAGTCGAGATACCCTACTCTTAATGAAAGCTCTATACTAATGTGAGTGATATGCATGGATCCGGTAGAGTCTACATAGACATCTGGAATAGTAATATCCAAGTTCAAGCCCCCAACGGACGTCTCATCTTCTGCACAACCTTCAGGTATTGAGTATACCAGCTAAATAGACATTTCCGCCATCGGAACGACAGGTATTGCCATTCGCAAGATCGCGACCCCAAATCCCGCCTTCGCACCTATAAAGCCAACACAGAGGATGTTGATAGGCTGGTTTTCACTATCTATCCGATAGAAACAACAACTGAGTATTCGGTAATGCAACAGATTGGAGTCTTCCAGGCAAAGTACAGGCTGGAACTGATATTATAGTCGTTCCGTTGCCATGGCGACGGTGGATTCACGATCACCTCGATATCCCGCCCGATAACGAAGTTGAACTACCGTCGACGACAGTACATGCACTGATCAAGACATAGGTACCCAATCCGCGGTACCTACAGATATGCAATAATGCAATTACTACAAAATCAATTGACAAGCTTCCGCTTTATAGCCACCGGGGCCGTTCTCTCCCTCATCATAACAACATTCCTTATATTCGGCACACAATACTCCAATGACGTCGCCAAATATGCTCTGAAGACATCTCTCAAGTCCACCCCACAGACATGCTTGCATACCTCATTACCCGAAGCAGGTAACGCTACAGCATGGGAGTTTATGGTCGAGCGCGATCGCGACAACCATGGGCTTTCGGATGAGCAATGTCGACTGGCATTTCCGAAGCTGTTTGTCGAGCTGAACAAGTCTGCATCGCTGAGGGAGGGCCATCGCATTACGTTCAAGGAGGTGGATAGTCTGCAAGTGGAGGATGGAATGGTACGGGGCATCATTCATCATGGTGAGGTGTGTGCTGGAACCTGGATCATCTTCAATGGTTGATGTGTCTTCTAACAATGACTTGATGCGATATAGCTGTATGTTGTAGATTTTGGCGCGATGCCCGCAACATTTACGCGCGGGAAAGCCACTCTTCATGCGCTTCATCGTGCACTTGCCTCGTTTTCAGACCGAAGCAGTCTACCAGACATTGAATTCGTCCTGACGACGGAGGATTATAGCACTCAGGAGGGGCCAGTCTGGTCTTATTCCAAACGGGATGAGCAGGAGAATGTCTGGTTAATGCCCGACTTTGGATATTGGTCATGGCCGGAAGTCAACATTGGCACTTACAAAGATATTCGCCGCCGCATTGCTGCAATCGACGATGGTGAAGTAACCCTGGATGGAAAGTTCATCCCAGGTCTACCCTTCCAGGATAAGAAAAAGCAGCTCGCCTGGAGAGGTAGTGTTGCTACGAACCCCGAAGTCCGGGGAAAGCTGTTGAAGGCAGCGCAGGGCAGGAGCTGGGCAAGCATCCGGGTGATTGACTGGGACGATGAAAATGATGTCCGGTTCAATCTCCTCCCAATGGAGGATTACTGCCAATATATGTTCCTGGTCCATGCAGAAGGACGCAGCTTCTCAGGCCGCGGAAAGTATCTACTGAATTGTCGCTCCGTGGTGGTCTCGCATAAGCTGGTCTGGCGCGAGGCACATCATGCTGCGCTCATTGCATCAGGGCCGGAGGCGAATTACGTCGAGGTCGAGCGCGACTTTTCGGACCTTGATCAGAAGATGGAGTTTCTTATCGATCATCCGGAGACTGCGCAACGCATTGCGGAGAATTCGGTGAAGACGTTTCGGGATCGGTATTTGACACCTGCTGCGGAGTCGTGCTATTGGAGGCAATTGGTTCGACAGTATGCTGCGTCGTGCGAGTTCGAGCCCGTCTTGTATACGCAGGAGAATGGCAGGGAGCCTCGTGGTGTTCCATTTGAAAGTTGGGTTCTTACAGGGTTCTAGATTTCTGTTCTTTGTGCATGTTATGGCGTTGGCGGGTGTAATAATTATGATTCTTACCGTTTATGAATTATGAGAAAGACATGGATGGTTGATTATGACAAAAATGGCAATATGTGTGAAATGTGCTATCATTATTATCATTATACAAGGAGCTGGATTATTGTGGGCGAATCTGCAAATACTCCCTCTGTAGCTGAAAAGGGGCTAGGCGCAGCTGACCATCACAACTCCAATCTTCTGCCATCTTCACCTTCTTCACTCCATCCTATGGCATCATCCCGCATGTCAACCCAACAAAACCCTCAATGGGATCCATCTGCCCGACTCTTCTCCTGCATCAAAAATCACGGCAACTCCGGTTCGAGGAGGAATCTCAAGCACGACTGGCGTCTTCGTATCCGAGACTACCCGCAGAATCTCACCTCTCACTGGCCCTCTATTATCTGGAGTAAATTGCACACTACCCGATGTCGAGCTTTTGAAGTCATCGTACATGAAGAAAGACCTTTACTAGCACTAATCGGGCTTCCCCACAACTTCCACGAAGAGTTAGTGAGGGATATAGTTTCCTACTATCACGCCCCTCCCGGGATCTGAGAGCCGTTTCGTGATAAATTCCTTCAATCGGGTAATACGTGCGGGGTAAGTCGAGGTGAAATTTCTAGGATTCGGTAACAAGGTAGGATCTCACGAGGCCCACTTGTTCACCTGATGGGAACACGAGGTAGCCCTGCAGATCTCCCTGTACATCGGGTCTCAAGGGCCCAAGAGGCTCAAGCCTTGGACCAATCAGTGGAATGCCGACCGTCGACTGTTCACCGACTAAGTTGATTTTCTTGTACATCATGGAAATCATGGAAAGAAACTATTGCCTTAAATGAGGCAGATCATTTTTGATAATCTCGTGGAGCATTATTAGGGTGCCTTTTGCCGGAATAAGCGGTCGAAGGTAACAACTTTCCTCAGGCAAGGGATGAGGCGCAGCGCGGTTGCCATCGTATCTGTGACTTCTGGAAAGCCCAGTACAGAGCAGTACATGGAATCGCTAAGCCCTTGGCCTGATGAGGTTTCTACACGTCGCATGTGAAGGATGAAAGTTGGGGTGCTACGTTGAGACCAGCCAGGCCGTTAAGGTTGGGACTTGAAAGAGCACCCGGTGTATGCCCTCCCGGCTAAGAAACCTACCCAGGCTTGGCGGACAACCAACAAAGGGCACCAGATAACTCATACGGCAGTCAGTTCTCCTCTGCCATGTGTCTGGTGTCTTCTGGGCAAGTCCAGTCGATGGGTTACTCGGCATGAGGTAGGTGAGCGAACGGGAGAAAAGATGGGTCATGCATCACCAAACAACTCCCATGTGCCATGCATTTGACAGAAAATTGGAGAAAGGAGATGGGGAAGGGTGTGATACTACACCAATTGACTGGTTAACATGAAGACAGAAATTGCACTTGTGCTAACGCCGCCGGATATGGATTTTGACCTTGAGTAATCGGCCATGAAAGAGATCTTGTACAAGGTTTGGGATGCCGTGTCCCAAAATTTCGATCTATGGGAATAACTTCGGGAGCGGCTGAAGCCAATAGCTGACTCCACGTCCCTCCCAGGAACAGGAAGATTGAGTCATGGTGATGAGGGGCCGCAGCCATGCATTATGCTGTAAGACCAGACCAGGGAGAATTATGCAGTCGTTTAGAAAAACCCACGGGAAATTGTGTCAGCCTGCTTGAAGCACAACAGTCTACTCCAAGGTCGGTGGCATGATCATACTCTCACCCCTTGATGATCAGTGCTGCCCTTGCGTCTCCGCCTCATCCGACTCTTCTTCCAATGTTCCTGGAAGAATCGACTAGGTTAATCACGGTTTATCTCAGCATAATTACTCCATGAAGTGGGTCCAACCCCAGATGATCAAATCAAGACTAATGAAGCTAGTAGAATTATCAACGGCCCAATAGTTGCTGCTGCACCGAGGCAACTGGCCAAGCTACTACTGTTTCCGTCACATCCAATGCCAACCGATATATCGCATTCGCCCGGTTGGGTGGAACATGTTACTATGGACTGCCTGTCAAAGCGAGTCATCTCTCGAATTCTAAATGCTCTGTCCTAGTGACCGGGGGCAAGTTCAATGACATCTGTTCGCTGGTGAATCCAGAGGCAGTCTTGCGGCACTTGCATAAAAAACGATGAGAGCATTCACTTGCCACATCAGTCCTGACGCCAAGTCGATACAATATTGTCCGCTAGCTTACCTGGACGACCCACTAAATTCCGACTATGCATATAGACGCACTTTGAGTCCATGCTAGCACCTGCCCTTAGCCAATTCCAGCTGGGCGATGTATCTATCCCGTCCCCAGACCAGCAGACCAGATTTCTCCCGCAACGCTGGGCATCAAAGGATCGATGCTTTTGTACAGAATGGGGAATAGCACCTCATCGATCATTGCAAGCGGTCATCAGCACGGGTGGGCCCTGCTTACTGCCCTGCTCTCAACGCTCAGATATAAAGCAACGGCGAAGCATCCCAGTGTATAGTAGCATTGCATATACATCTCTTCCATCGCACCTGAATATAACAGAAGCAGCCCCCAGCCGGGTCTGCAAACTCCTTACAGCAACACTACTTAACATATTCCATTCTTCGATACCTACCTTCCCAAACAAAGACACCATGCTGTGGACCCATCATCTACCATCCCTCTGGGCCCTAACCCTCGCCCTACTCACACCCGTACTATCCTCCCCCATCACCCTCCGCACCACCGGACCCTGGCTAGCCCTAGACACGGACTTCCCAGACCCAGGCTTCGTCCAAGCCGACGACGGCACCTGGTACGCCTTCGGCACGAACGGCAACAACCGCACGGTACAAGTAGCCAAGTCGACAGACTTCAAAACATGGACCCTCCTAGATAAAGAAGCCCTCCCCACACTAGCAGGCTGGGAGACGCAAATCGACCACTGGGCCCCAGACGTAGTCCGCCGCGTAACCACCCCCCTCCCTCATCCCCTCTCCATCACAACTAACAAAAATACACCCCCAGAACGACGGCAAATACATCCTCTACTACAGCGGCGAAGCCCAATCCGATCTCCGCCACCACTGCATCGGCACCGCCATCTCCACCACCACGGACCCCAGCGGGCCCTACATCCCCAACCCGACCCCTCTCTCCTGCCGTCTGGACCAAGGGGGCAGCATCGACGCGTCCGGCTTCCTCGACAAAGACGGCACGCGGTACGTGGTATTCAAAGTCGACGGCAACAGCATCGGCAACGGCGGGGACTGCAACAACGGGATTGCACCGTTGAAACCCACGCCTATCCTGTTACAAAAGGTAGACACGGACGGGTTCACGCCCGTCGGCGACGCAGTGCAGATCCTAGACCGCGATGATAGCGATGGGCCGTTAGTCGAAGCACCGAATTTGATTCTCCATGGGGATACGTACTTTTTGTTTTACTCGACGCATTGCTATACGGATGAGAAGTATGATGTGCGGTGGGCGACGGCGACGGAGATTACGGGCCCGTATACGAAGACGGGTAAGCAGTTGGTTAAATCTGGGGATTGGGGGTTGGTTTCGCCTGGCGGTGGGACGGTTTGTGGCTGTGGGGATCGTATGCTATTTCATGGGTTTTGTAAGGAGGGGGATAGTAGGAGGTGTATGTATGCCGCGGAGGTGAGGATTCAGGGGGTGGAGGTTGAGTTTGTTTAGTTTTATACTATCTGGTAGCTATCTACGGGTCTTATGGGTGGCGTTCTTGGAGTTCTGGGTTTGGGATTCTGTGTTTGGTTTTGTGTTTTGTGTTTTGGGGGTCGGGGTTGGGGTTTTGTGCTATATACCATCACGTTCGTTTTGATGTCAATTCTTTACTTAGTCAATTGTGGGATCTAGAAGAGTAGAGTCCTTTTGCTGCATTAGTTGACACGGAAGCCGAAGTGGTATAGAACTTGCATTAGTATCCCATTCATTGGGATGCCAATTCCAAACAAGTACTATTGCTAGTATCAAGTCTAGCCTCAGGTTGCTATTACTGTTCTAACACAGAATACAATTGTATATATTTCTCAATTAACTCACTCACTCTCAAGAGCAATCATCAACAAACAAATGACCTACTGCCCGCCTGCGGACAACGCCAGGTCCTCCCTTTCTTGCATCATAGCATGCATGCAGGCTGGTGTGTGTATCTGTATCTATAGTTGAAAATTTTTTTTCCAGAAAAAAAGTATGTACATGGGAGTTGATAGAGGCCGTAAGAGGCAAATTTATTCAGGGGTATCTCAAAATCAATCAAGAACGGGTGTGGAGTCGAAAGGGATGAATGATGTATGTCATGGCTCAACGAAGGAACACCAGGCCTGCCAATGGGAAACGCGATAGAAAGAAATAAACGTAGAATCTAAAGTGTATGGTTAAAAATCAAATGCTAACAGCCACCGAGAGGGTACTATATGCAAGGGCGGAAACAAAAGGTTGGTTGGTTGGGGTAGCGTCATATCACGGATCTCCATGAGACCTGTTCGACAGGTGAAAAAGTCAGCGCTTGCTGGGTCACATGAAGTTATGCATTGTGGTTTGCCATTGCTCTGGCACCGGGGCTGCTGAAATAGCTTTCATCGATCTTTAGGATCCATTCCACTTTCTGGGCCTCGGTTCGGGCCGCAAACAGGAACGTATTCTGTGCCCCGTACACTGCAAAGACGTTCGGACGACCCCGTGGAGACGTTCCCCGGTCAGATCCGGCTGCTCCTGGGCCATCGAGGAGCCGTGCGAAGTCGGGTGCATGGTCAACTCGGGAATTTCGCAGGTTGATAGCGTTGATCTCATCACCGTCGGGAACAGAATAGATATGAAGATATGGACGACGAAGCTCAACAAAACGCCGCACCCAGTGGCTGTTGGTATCATCAGGAGTCAAAAGATAGCCCGACTTCAGAGACGAATCATTCTTCGGAAGAGCTTGGACGCTGGCAACAAATCGCGGCTTCAATGATGCCTCGTCCTGAACTGAACTTCCATCATCGCTTGAAGATGACTGCTTCGCCCGCGAGGCAAAAGCCGCCCCTCCTGCAGGGGGCTCGGTATTGCTTCGGACCAGAATTGCCTCGATTGGATCGGTCTTCTTCCCCCAGAGGTCGACGTATTTCTGAAGCAATTTAGCCCTGCGGTCGGCACGCTCCTGGCTACGCAGGGGAGTTGACCGTCCGCTGCGTGGAGGTGATGCAACAAGGCTATTGGCACTCAAAGCCCCCTTAGCTGCATTCAACTCCGCGACACGTCGCCTTCGTTTGCGGGCGGCTATATAATCCCGGACAAGCGAGACTTTGCGCGGAGCCCAGGTGACCAGGAGCTCTTCGCCCTTCACATAGTCGTTTTGTGTATTCATCCGCCAGAGATCAGCCGCGCGTTTGGCGGACACCGGGCGGACGACTAGGGAAAACATGCGAACTGTGGAGTGCACAATACGCGTTGAATTGAAGAATTGTTTGAACATGGATTGAGGCCGAACGTATGTTCGGCCTTGAATCTGGAGGGTCAGGTCTATCTCAAAAGGAACGGGATCCTGCAGACGGGAAGAAAACAAATCCCATCGGAGAGTCACTTGGACACGATACTTGTCTGCAGTGACTCGATCAAGCAAGAGAGACCCGTGTAAGCTGGAGTCCCATTGTCCTATGATGGTGATATTTGATGTCCCATCCGCGTTTTCCTTCACGTTCGGCTCCTGGACGAACTTCAGCGCAACGTCTGGTGTCTGCAAGTCCTGGTCAGGGATCTTGCCCCAGGGATCTAGCAATCGCACTGAGCCCACGCGGATATTGGTGATATTATCCCACGGCAGGCTTTCAGTCGAGCTGTAAGTTAGGTTCACCAGGATCCGTCGCTGCAATCCCTGATGGAGCTGGTAAGTACCTGCATCGAGGCTGTTGCTCTGGACAACCTCAACGGGGAGATATTCTCCGGACT